GGTTAGATTCTTCTGGCTTTTCTCTGCAGGACTCTATGCATCATCCATACTGTGCTACATCTAGGGAGATCAGGGAGAGCTTGCATGAGCTCCATCACACTCTAAACATTCTATTTTCTCTGTGTAGGAATGCTCTCCCTCTCATCCTTATTTATGTAACTTACAGTTACATTCAAGACTTAGCTTAGCAACTACTTTAAGAAGTGTTTCCTACCCTGGCATTCTCCTCCTTCCTTTTGGATTGATTCAAATAGGCATTCTCTGTATCCCACAGCAACCAGTGTTTTCATAGCAATAATGACACTGCATATGTATATTTTCCTGTCTGTCTCTCCAATTAGATACTCATCTTCTAAAGTAAAGTACCATATTTTCCTTATTTCTACATCCTCTGAGTTCCAACTCATAGTAGTTACTCATTAAATATTTAATAGGCAAATGGACTATAATGGAGTGGGTTCTAAAGTTAACACATAGATTATGAGGTATAACCAAAATCATCCTTGGAAATTCCTTAGGAAGGTACTACACTGAAGACCAATATACTGTCTCAATATAGTTAAGCTCAGCAGTTTTTCCTCTAGCATTGAAATAATATAGTTTCTTTAGATGAACACCTCTACTTACAATGCACTTAATGACAATGTTTTATAAAAACTACGTATTTTTAAGCACTAGAATTTATATCCCATGAAACTCTAAGGATGGCAAGTAGAAACTGACGTGGAATAAAAGAATAGCAAATTTCTCTCTCATCTTCAGGTCACTCTGAATATACTCAGCAAGTGGAATGGCAGAATCACCATTTCCTTCTTTCCTTCCCTTCCACTCTCCTTCCTCCCCTCCCTCTCTCCCTCCTTCCCTCCTTCCTTCCTATCTATCTATGTTATCTCTTGCTGGGCCTATTTCTTTGAATTCATATAAATTAAATAAAATTATTATATGACTCCATTGTACTGATACGCCTATAAGCAGCCACTGTTGATTTTTCACAACCAGTATTTCTCTCATAATCTACTTCCACCAAGATTATGTAGTGCTTTAAACAATATTGGCAAATGCAGGGATAATAACAAGCATGGCCATGAGCATGCTAAACTCTTGTGCGGTCTATCAGGCTGAAAGAAGTCCAGATAGTCACAAAAATGTGAAGAAAGTATAAGAAAAGAAATGTCTCAGCTGTTGATCTTATGCTTCAAAATAAACATTCCAGAACATAGGCTAAAAGAATACTATTGCTAATTAAAAATCAACAGACAATAAATATGAATTGAGTGAAAACTTAGCTAGTTATAATTAACTTCAATGGGTCCACTAAAGAAGCCTATCTCTGGGCAAACACTGGAGAGAAAGAGATTTGAGGATGCTGCCATTTGGGTGAGTACTATCAATTTACCAGAGCTTACTTTTCAACAGGCTAGTATTCTCTGCTCAAGTTTCCTAGATACCACACAGACATTCCACATTTGGGAAACTCATGGTGTATCAATAAGTGTTGGTATGGATTGTTTGTATGAATTTGTAGATTTCTGTACTTTAATTCTCTCTACTTCAATCTTATTTCAAAAACGTAAGTTCTACATTTAGTAGTTTTTCTACAGCAATTGAGTTTTCTGCATTTCTAGGAAGCATCCCTGAGCAGAATAATGGCATGGTGAACCTAAAGCAAAACCAAAATAAAATAAGTCACCCTAAGCATATACTGAATATAGATTTCCTTCTCAGATAAGTTTAATAGGTGAAATAATCCCATCACTAAAGAAAACCATCTGGCTAGTCTGAAAATATGCTTTTGTGTAAAAAAAAAAATTTTTTAACAGTCATCAATTGATTAAGCACCGAAGTACTCTAGGTTTAGAATAAAAGTGCAGGTGCCACCTAGCTCCCTCTACTAAGCTTCTAGGCAGCTTCCCTTCATCCCACCATCCAAAATTCTTCTTTCTTTCCTGTGAAGTCCCATGGTCCTTAATCTATGCTTCTGATAAAAGTGATAATTATCACTTTACACTTAGTATAAATTTTGTACCTAATCTTCCCCACTAGATCATAAACTCTTTGAGGGTAAAAGTTATGTTTAATTGAGATTTGTATGCCCCATAGTATCTACCAGCGTGCCCTGCTCATAATAAATATGTACTTTATAAATACACTCAAAGATACTTCCTCCTGAAAAAACATTTTCAGCTTTTTTTCTAAAGTAAACTATATACCATATTACTTTCTATTTTTCTTCCTATTTCTCAGCAGTTCCTAGTTTACCACTTTTGCTAACTTCTTTCATCCCTGTTCCCTGAGGGAATCTGTTCATCTATTCACTTATTTACTCATTCAAAACATCCAATAAATATTTGAAGGTGCCAGAGTTATACCAGTAAGTCCCTTAGGGAGCTCTGAGTCTAGTAGGAAAGATAGACAAGTAAATACATAATTGTAAAACAATGTGCTAATTTTTGTAATAGATGCAAACACATGATACTGTCTAAGAGTACTTCTGCAATTTAAGAGTGCTTCTCCAAGATTTTGCCTGCAGTTTATCATTTCCCTACGTAATATTGTCTCCCCTGGTCATCCATCCATCCATCCCTCCATCCATCTGCCTGCCTATCTTCCTTCCTTCAATTTTAATACACAAAATACAAAAGCTGCACAAGAATAAATAAGTGAAAAATAAGTTGTCCTCCCATCTTTTCCCCAATGACTCAGCTTGCCTTCCCAAAGGTAAGCAATAATGTCCAGTACATAATTTCAGAGATACTCAATGTATACACATATATATGGTCTTACTTTAACACAATAGAAGCATACTTTATATTCCGTCTGCACCTTGTTTTTCTTATTTCATAACATATCTTAGAAATTGCCTTGTCTCAGCCAATATTGGGCTACCTCATTCTTTTTAATGGATATAAAGTATTTCACTGCGTGGATGTAACACTGATTAAGCAGTCTCCTTACTGAATGCTCATTTAAGGTACTACAATATACAATAGTGCAATGAATATATTTATCCATATATTATTCTGTGGTATATTTGTGAGTATGTTTGTAGGATAAATTCCTGGAAATGAAATTGCTGGGTCCCAGAATACGTGCTCTTTTAATTTTGATAGATACTAACATAGAAGTTTCACCAATTTCATTTCCCACAAAATAGGAAATATCCACTTCCATAACTTAAATTACAGTCTTTATGGGAATGGCTCCCAAATCTGTATCCATATTCTGACCCTTTATTTATTCTCTGTGATATCTCCACATATGTTTTTCTTAGAACCTTAGGAAAAAGCTTTCCAAACCCAAATTTATAATTTTACCCTTAACACATTCTTCATAAACTCACTGTATATATTAATTTTCCTGATCCCAACCAAAAGTCACTTTTGATATGTCTTTTTTTAAAATAAATGTATTAATTTTATTTATTTATTTTTGGCTGTGTTGGGTCTTTGCTGCTGCACGTGGGCTTTCTCTAGTTGTTGCAAGCCAGGGCTACTCTTCGTTGTGGTGCACATGCTTCTTATTGCGGTGACTTCTCCTGTTGCAGTGCACGGGCTCTAAGCGCGTAAGCTTCAATAGCTGTGGCATGAGGGCTCAGTAGTTGTGGTGCACGGGCTTAGTTGCTCTGCAGCATGTGGGATCTTCCCGGAACAGGGTTTGAACCCGTGTCCCCTACGCTGGCAGGCGGATTCTTAACCACTGCACCAGCAGAGAAGTCCCATGCCTGGGCTATTATAATCTAACTACTCAACTTCTTCCTCTGTGCTTGCCTACCAGTGATTCTGCTCATATCATCCTCTCCGCCTGAAATATCCTCTCAAATCAGTTCTCCTGATGAAATCTCATTAAGCCTACCCTAAATACTAGATCATCCAGAACACATTTTCTTTTATGAATTTATTAACACTTAGGTCTTTCACTATATAATAATACACTTATAAGATAAATTTAAAGCTCTTTCACTATATATTCTAATTTGTAATACAGTTATAAGATAAATTATAAATTCTTAACACATTTGGATAAACTCACACTGCCAAGGCACTCAAAATGTGTTTACCAAATGAACGAATGAATTTTTTGCAATGGACTAATTCCTATAAGTCTGATAATTCTATAGGGGAAAATATCGTATAAGGGATATTTTCTTCTTCCTTCCTTCCCTCCTTCCTTCCTCCCTCCCTCCCTCTCTTTCCCTCCCTTCTTTGTTTCTTTCTTTTCCTCCCTCCCTCGCCCTCTCTTTTCTTCCATTCCTCTTTCCCTCTCTTCCTTCCCTCCTTTCAGATAATAAGACTATTTTAAGGTCTGTGAGATACAAGCCCTTATTTAATAATTAAACTTATTTCAGAACACTCACAATGTGAAATATTTCCAGTTAACTAGTGCAGTTAATTACATTTTTCCTCCACATTGATTTTGATCAAATATAGGGAGGAGAAAGGATAAAGAATAAAGCAATAGGTGAAATATACTACTAAAATGATTGAATTTCCCTTCAAAACTACAAAATTCCTTAAAAATCCCTTACATACAGTCAAAGTTACTCTAACTACTATGTAGAAGAAGGCAGAACTCAACCACAATGTGCCTATGGCCTATTGTTAAACAGAGTTTAAAATGCACAAAATAATTTTTCATAAGTTTCACAAATCTTTAGGAAGAACTATGTAAAGCATCATAAACCCTCTATTTCTGGTTTTCAAAATTAAAAACCATGATTTTAAAAATCATATCTGTAGTAACATTTTTTTGCATTTAAAAAATTTAGAAAAAAGAGTATGATTAAACGTTCTTATACATAGAAGTCATTGTAAAAAATAAATGATCCTTATATTTCATTAGAAAATTATTCAGCTCCCATTTACTAAAATAGTAGAAAGAGCTATACAAATCCCTATCAAGAAGTAGAGAACTATTACATTATAACTTGTACTGTAAATAAGTTTTAAAAAATAACAATACTACCATGCAAATGCAAGTGCTGGTTATACTTCTTGACTCACCTCTCCCCCATTAACATATTCCATCACAAAACACAAACGGTCTTTTGTCTGGAAGGAATATTTCAAGGACTTGAAATGAAAAAGAAAAAATGTTATATTATAATCCTACATTCTTACAACGGTGTCAAAAAGAGAATACTTAGAAACAGTAAGCATGATTGATAAAATGAATTGTTTTTGTTCCTTAAGAGTGTATTTATTCCCTTAAGAATGCTTAAGTAAAAGTTTATGAGAAATATAAAACAAATTTTGTGAAGATCAGCAATGAGTATTATTTGGGGAAAATTAGAATTATGATTTTTACTAAAAATAAACTTAGTAATTGTTATGAGCACTTCTCAATCTACTATGTCATCTACTTGAAACTGTATTGGTCCCTAAAGTTCTTATCCATGAGACCTTAAAAGTAAGGCCTACAAATTACTTCAGGGAAAGTCTTAGGAGTACAGTTATAGTGGTTATACTTGGGTTTCTAATATAGTTTCAGTATCACTTCTTGCATAGAGGTCGCATTACATGACCCAATCCAATAGAGTTGTTTCAGATAATCTTATAGGTTATAAAGATATTAAAACTTTAGAGCCAACTATCTTAATACTTTGAAAAATAAACACACAACAATGTAACAAAGTAGGTCTATGTATCTGGTGATACCTCTGAAAAAACCTACTAAATGATCCTAAATCTTTAAAAGTTTCTCCTTTTGAAAGTCTGTTATTTTTTTTTTTAATTTTTTTGCGGTACGCGGGCCTCTCACTGTTGTGGCCTCTCCCGTTGCGGAGCACAGCCTCCGGACGCGCAGGCTCAGCGGCCATGGCTCACGGGCCCAGCCGCTCCGCGGCCTGTGGGATCTTCCTGGACCGGGGCATGAACCCGTGTCCCCTGCATTGGCAGGCAGACTCTCAACCACTGCGCCACCAGGGGAGCCCTGAAAGTCTGTGATTTTTAATCTTAATACACTTCATTGGAACCAGGAACACACAGAAACTTTGCAAATTATGCCTCTATTACAAGCAATCTAAACGGGACTAAAAAAAAATCAGTCTGTTTCAAAATAACTAAGTTATATGTATTTAAGTCACAGTTTATACTTTATCTAATGAAGAAAATGTACCATGACTTATCCTATTTTTAACTTAAATGCTATCTTTAAATTTATTTTTAAATGTATTTGCTCTATTTTTTTTAAGGCAGTGAAAGTTATGGGAAGAAAAAGAAATCTCAAAAAACTCATGGGTATATAACGAGAGGACTACAAATGCATGCATATTGTAAACTTAATCCATACATTCTAATAATTTCCCCCAAACTGACTTATCTACAAAGAAAATGTCATACCTAAATAAATGTTATTTAAAATGTTATTTTTCATAGCTTAGATTCTATAATAAAACTCCCTTAAATATAAAATGTTATAACATCTTTCCTCTAAGCACTTACTGTTAAAAAGGGATGTCTAGTGTTCTTTAATACTCTGCTTTCAGTTAAAGTGTGTGCCACTTCATCCTACAAAAGAAAAAGGCAAACCTTTAATATATGTTCTGAGCACAAATAATATAAAAATTTTGCTATTTCTCTAAGACCAGAAGAGGTAAACACAGACACAGAAAAAGATTTTAAAACACATGCTCCCTTTATTGCTAAGCTTCTCTTCCACCAAAAAAAAAATCAAATTAGTGATTTAAATCAGATGGCTATAATGTATAAACTCATATAAATTCAGTCATACTTAAAGTATAGCAATAATGATATAATAATCAGCAAAAATTATCAGGGACACAGAAAATGAAATAGTAAGCCTTTCCCCTTGAAGAGAATGCCTTATAAGTTAACAGCTAGGCATGGAGTAGTTAATATTTCCATGTCTGTATTACATTGTATTCAGGGGGATTTAAAGGATATATTTCATTAAAGATCATAGAATTTGTTGCAAGTCTTCTACCTAAAAGAAAAATCAGTTATTGAAAAGGGGGACACAGTACCTGTATAAGATTTAATTCTTAAAAAAAGAGATTTAATTCTAAATTATACATTTTAGAAATAAAAACAGAGTATAAAAGCTGTATATTTTTGCTTGTGGCTTTTTTAGCTTGCTTCTTTTTTTTTTAAAAAAAAAGGTCACAGCCTATTCTAGGTGACACTTTTTAAATCTGCATATATTTCAAACCAAAAATACACTAAGAGTGTATTTCCCCAATCTTGTACATAAATTTCATCTTGACATCAAAAGTGAACTAGGAAAGATTTCCTCAACATATGGAGAACTGGAAAAATGTTTCATATTTTAAAAATAACACTATCTTAAAGAATGAAAGGAAAGGAAGACAACTGCTGAAACTAACACAGCATCTCTGGTCTCTGCTGCTGCCAAGATCCTGAACAAGGCCCTTACTGGATCAATTTCTTAATATTGCTGGCAAATCACAGTTAGGTTATAAGTAAGACAAGGGAACATTAGGACACTGCATTATATTTATTATTTTTATAAAAGCATCTGACCTTAGTTAGACTTAGCAGATAAATGAGCAATAGACTGATCAAAGATGCTAAAATCCAAAACCCATTCCAAGAGGGAGAGACCAATTCTGTCTGAACAGAAAGTAAAGTGTAATGACATAGTATTTAAAACCAGTGAAATAAAGTATGGGTAAGAAAGCATTCCAGTCTTATTTGTTTAATAAGAACCAGAATTAAGTGCTCAAACAGTATGAAAGTCCCTGTCATATCATACTATAACTTCTAAATTAATTAAAGTAATACCAAATATCTTAATACAAAATAAATAAGCAGAAATGACCCCATAACTAAGTTCTGTGCCCACAGTGCCTAGCATAATGATTAACATACAGTAGGTACTTATTAATGTTTGTTGAACTTAGCTATTTATCATAGGAATGAATTCCAAGATGTCAAATGTGTGGGACTTCACTCATTCAATCATTTATTCCTTCAATAGATATGAAACAAATATATTCTGGGTATTGTTCTACCCATTGAAGACAGGGCAACTGAACAACACAGACCAAAGTCCTGCCCTCATGGAGCTTTCATTCCAGTTAGTCAGACGGTGGTCAGTATTAATGGAAAAAATAAAAAAGAGAAGTGGATACTGCAGTTTATGAGAATCATATAATGAATGTAAAATACAAGATTAAGGATTATACAGTGGCTATTTTGAGATATAGAACTGAATTCAATGATTAAAAAACCAAATCCTCGATATGCATTTACTTAATGTTAAGACAGTGCAAGCATAAAGTGGTTTAAAAAAAAGATATGATTCTTTTGCTCATGGAGTTCACATGCTAGTGGACAAGACATAACAAATTTGTAAATATCCAATTTAAGAAATAATTACGAATTCTGATAAGTGATCTGATTTTCTTAAGGGAAAACTGGGGTATCTACTATAGTAAATGGGATAATGAAGGAAAATCAATGCTACTGGAAGATCATAGGTTGGGTAATGTGATGGTGTAGGCGATGGAGGATCAGAGGCCCACAGCTGATTTCTGTTTTTGAGTTTGCTCAGCCTCCTCTGAGAAGGACAGCAAAAACAGGAGGGATCAATCAGGAGACAACTGCAGTACAAGAGTGAAATGAGGATGGCCTGGATGACAGGAACAGCAGGAACAAGAAAAAATGTTTGGAGTATTTTTGAGATATAAAATTAATAGTAAAAAACTAACAGCTATATGCTTCCAACAAGAGGGTAAAGCAGAAGAAATATTTCTTTATATGCAGTCAGAAAGAGATTCACAGAAGACATAACATTTTCCTATTATACTTCAGGATTTTAAGGGATTTGAGGCAGTGAACTAGGAAAAGACTTAAAGAAAGGTAAGTATGAAACCAGAAAAGATATTCTAGTACTTCAGAAAATATTTCTGGCAGATATTTCATTCTATTTTGTTGAAACAAACTCATTATATGTAACAGTTGTTTTTCTAAATCACTTCGTAAGTTTCATGAAAGATTATATTTTTTCTAAATTCTATGATCTGCCTAATCACATTAAAGGAGCCAAGTAAAGATGTAGGTAGGCAAAAGCTAAAAACAATATTTCTTTGTTGTAAGAATGATACCAGAATTAATACCATGTACATATCTTTCATGTATTAAAATGTATTTTCTACCATATTTTTACATCTGATCAAATTAGAATTTCCCCCTTAATGCAAATTTAATGGTACAATATTTCACATACTAATTAGTTTCTGCTATGAAGATAAGGTATGCACAAGCTAAAAAGTAAACACAGATGTCAATAATTTTTAATTACAGTTAAAAGCAATATGTCAAAACAAAAAGTTATAAATAACAGTGATAAAGCTTAGTGGCTAAAACAATATGATGCTTTTTTAAAAATCCATTTGTTGATCATGATTACAAATGAAGAGTGCTTCGGTATATAATGTAAGTATAATGTTTTCATGAAAAAGCTTTTGAAATATAGTTTCATGGATATTCATCCATGGTAAAATACTAAACAATGAATTTTAAAATCTAATTTCTTTCATAGAAAGAAGTTTACAGAGAATGGAATTTTATTTCTTGCAAACATGAGGCAGAATAGTCTTCCTCATATTTATTTTCTCAAATGTCTCTAATTTAGCACTGTCCTCTACTACACAGAGTTTAAAATTCTCCTTTCATTTGCCGCACTTATTGTGTTGTGGTAGTTAGGGGTTGTTTTTGGAGGAGGCACAAGGAGTAAATGACGACAGAGAAACAGAAGAAAAGAACATCTCTATTACTGAGGACAAAGGGTGTCATCTCCTTTAATCCTTGTAGTAACTGAGCAGGTTTGGTTTGACTATTCCCATTTTATATGAGGCAATCAAGGTTCACAAAAGTTAAACTGCTCAAGTTGCAGGTGAAAAGGTCAATATTGATCCCATCTAAGTCCAACATCAATGGTCATTTCCACTTCACCACACTGTCTCCCATCTTCAAAAAGCCTGGTACCAACTTAACTAGGTACTATAACTCTGTTCACATTATTTTCTCCATTTTGACAAGACTATAATGACTGACTTTTATCAGAAGCTGGTTGAACTCAAGATACATCATATCTAAAGCATCTTTTTTTTTTTTTTTTTTTTTTATCCAGAGCTATAAATGACACTCAGAGGAGGAGATGTAGCAGGTGTGGAAGCAGAGAGAAGAGGGGAGAAGTTTTTACCTTGGCACCTTTATTCTTAATTAAACCACAATGACTACAAGTGATCATTATTTACTTGTTCTGTTTTGACAAGCCGTATGTCAGCAATCTATACATTTTTCTTCTGTAGCAAAGATGTCATACTTATTAAGCTCTAAATTTTGAGGTTGTAACTTCCCCCTCTTTGGAAAACTTGAGCAATGGCCCAGATGCAGACTTCTAATACTTCCACTCTCCAGCTCTCACACTTTCTCCTCACCGTTCCTTCATTTCTATTGCTATTACCTTTTTTGAGGATCTTTTTCATCTTGATGGAAAAAATGAAAGCACAGTTGTTCCCTGTTGTCTATGAATATTATATCACCTTTATCAAATATTGTTATTTGATACTTATTTATTTATTTTTTTTGTGGTATGCAGGCCTCTCACTGCTGTGGCCTCTCCCGTTGCGGAGCACAGCCTCCAGACGCGCAGGCTCAGCGGCCATGGCTCACAGGCCCCAGCCGCTCCGCGGCATGTGGGATCTTCCCGGACCGGGGCATGAACCCGTGTCCCCTGCATCGGCAGGCGGACTCTCAACCGCTGTGCCACCAGGGAAGCCCTAATACTTTATTCTTGATGCTCTTGTTCCAAATATCAGGCTGGCCAAAAAGTCTGCTTGGGTTTTTCATATGATGTTACCGAAAAACCCAAACAAACTTTTTGGCCAAACCAATGTTACTTGGATGGAGGGCTACATGAACTTCTTTGACTTCAGTCATGACATAATCTTCAGCACCTAGTCCTTCTTAAATTGTAGAACATGCTGCTTGTCTATATTGCCCTTCACTACATTCCCTTCTTTCCTTCTGCCTCTTCCAATTCCCAGTATTGGAATACATCAATCTCTACTTTCTCACTTTTACTGATATATTCCACATCTCAAGGGGAATAAAATCACAAACATACTGACTAGCACCATTATAATGCCCTCTCTAATCTCAGCTGAATCTTCTTAGGATTCTTTAACTCATCCCTACCAAGGTCATTCTTCCATTCCTCAGTATGAATGTTTCAAAACTTTCCCAGGCCTCCTACCAGGCCTAGTATGTATGATAAAATGTACACACAACCCCACAAGGTTACCTTACCTAGTTAAACTACTGAGCTGAGATTGGCACCGAGGTCTATCTGACTTTCATTACGTCCAGGAGATTTTCATAAAGTTGTCTTTCTTTATCTCAACCTCACTCCCACAGTTTCATCCTACTTCCTACTCAGAATAGAGGTCATTAACCTCCTACCTTCATAGATACACTCATTCCCTTGGTGACTTCATTCAGACTATGACCCTAAATACAGT